TAAGCAAGCAAGCAACAAGTGTTATCTTGTCTTTATTTGGGTTTAAAAAAACTGTACTGAGGTATAATTAATATGGATTTTGTCAAAACATTGGTATCACAATAGACCCATTTGTAAGCTCAGTGGCACCTCTCCATCCAGTTTTAGGTCTGGTGCCCCGGGGTCTCGCAGGGAACACAAACTGAACATAGACTGAACATGAAATAAGCGCACTGGTTCAATTTCATTGTGAAGTATATCTATCATTACCACATATCACATATTATATCAACACAGCAAAAATACGACACCAGTAGTATAATATTTATTGCAACTACAATCGCCACCGTATACCCCGGTCCTCTTCTAACTTATTACGCTAGAAACTCCCCCATTTTTATAATAGACAGCGTTACTTGTTCAACTCATAGTCTTAATACTTTATGCGCTGTCATGACTGCATGTGGACTCCGCCACTGAGGGCGTCGCCCCGTAGCATAATCATGACAGCATCAATGCAACTTGGTGAAACGAGTCTGGTTAATCATATGCGTAAAGTAATAGTGAGCGTGTATTGTGGAAACCTTTGGGCAAATTATATTGCACTCTGAATGCTAAACTTCTGGTGAAGCCATTTTCTCGTGTTAGGTAATGTGTGTACTATAATAAATCCAACAGCTATGGGATTTGCAAGATATCTGCATCAGAATTGTCTTGCCAATAGCCGAACATCACCGAACAGTTTCGTGGTTTCGGTAGTGGTTCAGTTGTTACCATCAAGACATCAAATCGCATGCGGGAATCTCTGTTTGACAATCAGAAATAAACTACTGTAAAATACTTTATTTTAGCTGAAATTAATTTTTGCTGAAAAAAAAACTTTTTGGGTGTTTTCTATGAAATTTATTTTCACTGATTTGTTTCAAGTTGAATGTAAAATATAGGACAAATGTATTTCGCTAGATTTTATTTTCATTGAATCATTCATTCAGCCAAAATAGCGGAAATAAACTATTTTACAGTATACTATAAAATCATAATTTGTTGTGAGGCATTTGCCATTACGACTAGTCTGAGATGCTCGCAGAACTGAGTTATTTTCTGTATAGCCATTATGACCCCAGCCCCTTTTTAAATTTATAGGACGATTAGTTTACTCATTATGATGACGTTACCACTATCTCCGAGCGAATTTTTAACATTGCGTACTTCCTAGATTAGCTGTGTTTAGCGCACATACGAAGCAGAATTTGAACTGAAATAGGTGCCGAGATCTATTGCAGTGAAGACAAATAATAACTTGACGCGCAGTGCGTCAGCTTTCGTTCAGAAAAACTCGCGAGTGCCGTAACTTCAAGATTTGATTTTGATTTCAATATTGAAAGGGCTTTCAGCTAAGTTGTCCGATAATACAACTTTAAATGTCGATAATACAAGGTGTAACCGTGATTCTCGAGCTAATTACCACCCGAGTCCGAGTAAAGGGCTCCAATGGAATTGTTCAACAAAGACCGAGGCCAGGATCTAATATTCAAGTTGACACTCTGTGCAAACGAGATTTTGTAGGATGTAACAGTCAACTAATTGTCCACAAACGAATCTTTACCTATTATGTCGATAATCGAACATTTTTGAACGTGTTAAGTAGACGAAATCCCGATGTGAAAACACACAAAGTTATAATATATTTTTAAAATTTGAAATTACCATTTTTAGTTCTAATTGCAGGAGAACAAAGTCATGTTCCCAGCTTGTTTATTGTATAGCACCACACCCAAAGAAGAAAGAGGATTCGACCCCACTGCGTCAGCTGGAGAAGGTACTAGTTAACGACTGAACTATTACGAGTTTTCTTGTAGAGTTCCCGAAAATAAACAATTTATTGACAATAAATAACAGCCACGACTGCGCTTTGATTTTGCTTATTTCAGTGAATTATATTATTTCTTGAGTTGACATAATAAAGATGATGAAAAATTTCATTACATTTAAGCCCTCCAAATGAATGAATGACCCATTTGCTGTTAAATAATGTTAGTCCCCCTTTGTTATCCCACATATGTCGTTGAACTTTCAGATATTCCAAAACTTTGATAATTAGTATGTATTAGTATTATTTTATTTTAATTAGTAACATTGCCATATTTATATGTTTGTTCGCGAGCATTCGACTTAAAGCGAAAGGGTCGCCACCTGCGCACGCGCGGGAATTGAGTCCCAGGCGACGATAACAACACACGCTACAAACGCAAAGGCTCATGGGCAGACGCTTGTTTGTAAACAATGACACTCTATGGCCATCTAACGCATGCGTAGGTGACGACTTCTTCGCCTTAATAGGGGCAACAAATGGTCGTCTCTTCACAAACTTAAGTGATACATAATTCTTTATTTGAATAGCCTTCGTCGAATTTGTTTTCTACCCAGGAGAAAATATTTTTTAGAGAAAAACTATTGATAATTTTGGCATAAAATCGATGTTATCGCTTCGAGTGAAAGCATTACATTCATAAAATGGTACATGTTTGACCTATTTTTCTGGGGAAAAGTAGTTCGATGACCATATTCTTATCTGGAATTTTGCACAACAGAATAAAAACAAAAGTCATATATACGTTTTAAAGGTAAACAACTACCCTCAGTCACATGTACTTTTACATTATATTGATTTGACCATATGAGGGTATTAAAAGAAGACAAATTACCAATTAAAAACAAGAAGCAAGATCATCATTTCGTGATCCCTCAGATTATAGTTGAACCACCCGTACATCAATGTTACGCTCTCATGCCAGATGAGTCATCGCACATTCATAGAAAGTTGTATCAACAACTGTTCCCACTAGGTTGAATTATTGAACTCCATTGGTAGAACAGCCTGCTCGACACTGTAAATACACAATTAAAATGGAATTTGAATTGTGATGATTCATTGTCATTCATCTATATGCATTTGACCTAGTTGGTAGTTCCCGATGACACAAATGAAAAATTCAACAGCACAACATTTCAATAGATAAGTTTATTAGAAATGATCGTGATTTATTTAATGTTATTTCGCATATGGAAGACAACAATGATATTGGAACCTCAAACTTGACATTGATGGAAATCGTCAACACTAATATCACAGAGAGAATGGGGAAAAAGAATTCCTTCAGCGCTCCAGCACGTTGTCTCCACGCTAGGTTTTATATTACTGGTAATTGAGTGGTGAGTTGAAGTTCTTGTATTGGTCTCAAAATGAACTCACCGTGACCAGTGACACTGTTCATGTCAATATACCAGGGGCGGATCCAGCAAAATGTATTGGGGGGGGGGGGGTCCAGGCCTATAGGTCGAATACACGGGACCGTGCGATTCGGACGATGCTATGCGTAATCCAGATGCATTTTCATGCGTTTGGAGGGGGCCTTGGCCCCCCTCTGGATCCGCCACTGCAATATACTATCGATTGTGGTTTGCTGAGGACGTTTTCACAGTGTGTATCATCCAGGGATCATCCTGTCTGATTTCATATTCCCATATACAGTTCTTGGTACACACTAAGTCGATTTCGCTGAGTTGTCCAGAATAGGTCAAATCTCGGATAGTACTCCGTGTGTTTGTAAAGGGATATTTTGACCCCCTGTCAATTTTATATGGCGTTAATCCATTTCCATTGTTACAAACCTACAATATAATACAACAAGAGGAATGCCTCTATTGTTGGGGATAGAATATAATATACTCACTGCTGTGTTCACGTGTGCAATGGAACAACGCAAAGTATTATTGTCCAGGATTAAACTAATATAAAACTTGAATCTGAAGAATTTATCTTATCTTATTTAGTGACATATTTTCAGATTAATACACTGCATGTAGAGGATTAATATTTGGTGGATTGGGTTTAGGTTTCAAAATATCAAAGGCTCCCTTTATCACCTCAATTTTCAATACCGTTGCTTCCCTTAATACACACTTATTTATTGACGATAACAACTGATTTAAGATTGCCCTCGATTTCTTTGCCCTATTTACAAGTTTAAGTTAAAATATAGTGTATTAAAGTATGAGAGTCGCCACCTGCGCTTGCGTCAGATGGCAATAGCGTGTCATTGTTTACAAACAAGCGTCTACCCATGAGCCTTTGCGTTTTAACGTGTGTTGTTATCGTCGCTTGGGACTCAATTCCCGCGCGTGCGCAGGCGACGACCCTCTCGCTTTAAGTATCATGATTCATTTGCGCGTGGTACTATACTTTAGTGACCATACAAGTGTAAGTTGTTCCGACTCAGTGCTGTGTCAACAAACAGAATCCCGGTATCCATGACACCGGACGTAATTCAACTACTCTCTCTGTTTCTGAGTAAAGTGCACATGACCTTTGTTAATACGTATCACGTGACAAGACTCGTGACGTCATTGTGAACGTTCAGCTATATATTCCTGCAACAGCAACCAATCACACGTACTTGCTGGATTGGTGTCAACTCGTCGTCACCGTGTACTCACACTAGCAGATTACCAGTACGATGAGTACTCTACTGTGCCATGTCTTTCTCCTAGGAGTTGTGGCTATCAGTGCAAAGGAACTGGTAAACATGGATATGATAATCGACCATATATTATCGGCTGTTAATAAGAGTGACACGGTTTATGACACTGTAAGCCCCCAGTGTTTAGAAGACACCGTACAGTTTGCAGTTGAACACGAGTCCGCCTCTTACGCACGTCAGAGTGAGTACAGCATGCGAGTCATATTTAGGTCGAATCTTTCCCTACAACGGAATTACCAGAACAATGATCGCGACTTTCATTAGGTACATGTACTTGTACTTGACGACAATTGTATGTTGTTTCTTTGTTAAATGAGCTGAGCTCGTTTTAACACCGACGTATTTTTTTTTGCGAAATTGGTTTTACAACATGTGTAAAATTAGACCAGTTGCTGGTCAATTTGCTTTTCAAAAATAGAAAGGTACTTTTTCTAAATTGAGATTCGAATTCGGAAGAACTCTCTCCTGGAATACAAAAGAAGTCGGTTCACCGGAGTAGTCGGTTCACCGGTCGGTTCACCGGAGTAGTCGGTTCACCGGAGTAGTCGGGAAAGGGATTAGCAATGTTCATTTCAAGGTGTATACACATCTATGTTTATTTCTAGCCAATCAGAATTCATCTTCCGAGCCAGTGCAGATCAGCCGTTATTTCGCGTCGCGAATGTATGTGATACAGAATAATTTAAAATTTATCTATTTTGCATAACGTGCAGCCTGGCCTTACTAACTACAACTGTATACATACAGTATACGTCGATGAGTGAGATTATTTATACTTAAACAAACAAGAGAGTTGCGAATTATACAATCAACGCCCAGGTGTTTATCGTGTCAAGTTCGCCATTTTGATTACTACTGTAAGGTCGGTGTTTAACAATAGAAAGGGCTATGCCATTAAATCACGGGGACGAAAGCACTGTTGCACATTTCGAAATACTTTAGATGCATTGACTACCGTCCCCTGGTCATATGCTCCTCCCCAGGTATTCTCTCCTTAAGTTTTTGGGATTTTTTTTCTCAAAATTCGGACCAAAAAAAAAAATTAAAACCTTTGATTTTTAACTGACACGCGCACGCGCGATGACCAGAAAATATAAATATTTGTTTCTGTGTCGTATTGTAAACTTGTAATTTCACCTTCGTGCGTAAACGAATTATTTATTCGATTATATCAAGTGACAAATCATTTGATATAACTAAAACACGACAAAATTATTCCCGTTGACTGTTATACTCTTGTATATTTATATTTGCTCCGCGCTCTAGCGATTTTACTTACAGAAATGACACCAGCACATACTTAAAAGGCGGTGGTCGTCGCGCCGCGCATGTGCGACATTATTCGTCATGGACTGGATAAGGCTTTTGCAGCCCGAGGTCGCCGTGCGGCAGAAGCGCCCGAGTTTTATCATATACCTTATAGTTGTACTTACAATTTTACTACGGCTAGACCTAAAACACACGACGTAATTTAGAATAACGCGTTTTGTTTTGAATGATGAAAGCCGGGCGCGCTGGGCCAGGCGTGATACGGGAAATTTTGTCCTGATGTGAGGGCGCACTTTCCATAACGTTACGAGGCCGGGCAATACGAGGTATATGATAATGTGTTGATAAACATTGAGTTTCCCACAATGCAATGCGCTTTATAATGCAAATCAGGAGTACGAATTTTGACTTGGGCGCGATGTGCCTTAATTGTCGTCGACGAGTCTTCCGATATGTTCCAATCACCAAGGAAATTACATAGTTAAAGCTTGGTAACATCTCAGTTTGTACTCATTGGTCTGCGCATTGCGCAACAGTCATAGACCCATATCTCGCGCATGCGTGGCGCGACGACCACCACCCTTTAATAGAATCTGGTAATCATGTTTTCAGAAATCCTGGTTCATGGGCCACGTGTTCCAACACATCTGTTTTGACACTAGAGATGACTGGTTTGAATAATTGCCACTGAAACGGGATTATTATTTGCATATTCATTTTCATCTTCCATTTGCGACTGAAATGGTATGAAAAGACCTAGTA